TTTATTTCAAATTTAATTGGTTTGTGTATTTTAAAATTAATTAATTATATTTATTTATTTATAAGGTGTTGTAGGCGTCCTTGATGGGACTTTAATTCATGTTGTTATATCACATGACCAACAAGTCCTATATAGTAGGGAGAGCATGAGAAAATTGCTATCAAAATGTTCTTGCGATATGTGATTTTGACATGATTTTTATTTTGTTTGGGCTGGATGGGAAGATGTAACACATGATTCAAGAGTATTAATAGAAACTATGCATGGCTCATCAAATAATTTTATCATCCCTCCACCTAATAAGTTGTTTCCATTCTTATTAAATTCTTTTTTATAAAAAATTCCCCTCAAGTTTTTTTTTTTTACGTTATTACTAGGTGTCTTATGTCAATAATTTTTACATTTTTCATCTAATTTATTAGATTAATATTTAGTGACGAGATAAATATTATATTTGTGATGCTATATGTGCACATACTAGAGAGTTTATAACACCATATCGTAATACACAATATTGGTTATCTAATTTTCGTAATGGTCATCATCCAAGATCAAAAGAAGAAGCATTTAATCATGCATATGCAAAATTGAGGAATGTTATTGAACACGCATTTGGTGTTCTAAAAGTAACGTTTTCAATTCTAAAAACAATGACCCTATATCCATTTACGGTTCGTAGAGATATAGTTATTATATATATTGCAATACATAATTATTTTCGAAGAATAGTTATTATGGATAACTTTTTAAAAAAATTTGATGGTGATTATGTGATTTATCAAATACTAAAATGTTGCTACAAATTTGCCATTCACCGAAAGAGGGACGCAAGCATGAGCTTATCAAATATTTATTTACGATTAATCTACGAGACCAAATTGCAAATGAATTGATTTGTACTTGAGATTTTATTTATTTTGTGTATGATACGACAATTAATGTTATCTAAGACCATGTTTAATTTTTTTTATTAATAATCATTTTTATTGAATTTTTATTTATTTATTTATACACACAAACACGTGTATGTATATATTTTTATTTGTTTTAAAAAATATCATGTCACAATTGTAAGGTTAAAATTGTCATGTATATAACTTTAATATGTTTAGCAACGATACTTATCAAACAAGCGTATTATATTCAATACTTAATTTTCGTAAATATCAAATAGCTTATTAGTAACATATTCAGTACTTAATTATTCAAGCACTTCAAATTCGATACTTAACATATTTAGCACTTAATTTTTAGTTTTATCAAATGCCACATGAGTTTCCTAATCAAAAACCAAATCCTTTATTTGATCTCTTTTTTTTCACTCTCATATACCATTCCTGCTACTGCTATTTTCCTCTCCCCATCTCTCGGCTCTTTTTTTTCTTTTTTTTCCTCTTCACTACTTCTTCTTACTGCCTTATTTTTCTCTCTCTCTTTTTTTTTTTCCGCTCTCTCTTTTGCCTTTTTCTTTCTCTTATTCCCTTCTCTTCCTATTGTCACAGATTCTCCCCCTTTTTCTCTTTACCGTCACTTCCCCAGTCTTTGGTATACTTTTTTTTTCCCTTCATTACTACAATCTCATTCTCTTTTATGTTCAAAGCCAGCAAAACGCTAAACTTGCCATTTTTTTTACAAATCCATCCTTTTCTTCTCTCTCTTGTACACGACGCTCATGCTTGTCAAAAGGAAAAGAAAAAAACAACTCATATCAACTCAAACAAAAGGTTGTGAATTAAAGCTGAAACAGTAACTATATACGTGTACTGGCAAAAAAAAAAAAAAAAGGTAATGGAGAAGTGGAAGAGGACCTACCTAGAAAGAAATACCGACTTTAATGGAGATGTCAAGACAAAGTTTTAAAGGGTGAAGCTGATTGAGGAAAATGAAACCTCAGAATAGCACACAATGTTTTCTTTAGGAGACTGAACTTGTCCTCCCCTTTTCTTTTTCATTGATAGTGCTGAATTTATAGAAGAGGAATTAACAACCAATCCCCACAAATCTTCTACAAAATATGATAATGATAATATAGATAGCACCTAAATTTAAATTTGAAAGTTCAAAACCTTGAATTAAAAAAAAAAAAAAAAAAAAAAAAAAAAAAACTAACAATCCATCCAAAAATATTATTTTACAAAATCTGATATGATAAGAAATTACCTGAATTCAAATTCGAAATTTCGAAGTCTTGAATTGTTCAAACTCGAAAATTCAAAGTTTTAAATTATTCGAACTTAGAAATTCAAAGTCTTAATTAAAATCCTTCATCTTTTTTTTATAATAAGTTTTTGCTTTTATGATAAAATGTTGAATGAGAAATTAAACCAAAATTAAAAACTAAATAAAACAAACCTAATAATATCAATAAAAATAAAAATCCATGAAAACCGTATACTATGAAATAAAATAATAAAAAAAACTTGTAAAATATCTAAAACAACTTCAGAGTCAAAAATAGGGCATGACACAAATAATAAATTAAGTTTATGTGAGGATATCTCTTTATTTTTTAAGACCGTTTGATAAAAAATTAAGTTTCGATTGTAGCACAAGTTGATCTAAAAATACTTTTATTATTGTTAATTAAAATTTTTAAAAATTAAGAAAGACCGTAAAGATAATAATAATTAATTTATTGTAAACACATCAATTCTAGTGTAAATGATAAATTTAGAACTCTGATATATACAGAAAAAATATTTAAAAGCTTGTTCGAAAATATATCTATCCCTGATAAAAATATTCCCTTGAGTTTGTCATTACCTAGGGTCTTTCATGAGACGTGGATAACGATTTCTCGTTTTGTACTAAAAGCCAAAACCAATGGAATGATTTGAGTGGGAATGGTTTTTTAATTGAAATGTGAATTTACGGTATAATAATTAATAAGTATATTTATTTGTCGTTCTAAAAATTTTGTCTCACTTTTTATTTTTCTCAAAATGATTGAATATATATATATATATATATATATATATATACACCATTTTTTATGTTTTATAATATCCTCAATTTAAATCTTTGTTGTAAAGAAATTGTAACTAAAATGATAATATTTCAAAAGAATATGAATAGAAAAGGATTATCTTACGTAAGAGTCAATAATTGCAGAAGACTCTTTACTCTTTCTTTTGTTTTTATAATATCCTTCTACTTTTTTCACCTTAAATTCATCAATTTATGTCTGATTTCTTTCTTAATTTCATCTTTTCATTAATTTTTTGGCTAACAATGTTAATTTATTTTTTTTCCTATCTTAATCTCATTCTTCTACTCTATTTTTCATTTTAATTTTGTTTTATTACCAACTTTAAATAAATAAAATTTAAAAACTAAAAAAATAAAGATATATCTGGTCATTCTCTCTAAAAATTGAAAAAAATGTAAAATTAAAATTTTTTTTTGTTCAAAATATCCTTTATGAGTTTAAATTTATCTCTATGATAGCATATAAATTTTAAATATAAAATAAAATTTTATAGTATTTTTTTTAAATGCGAAGAGAACTTTAATTAAATTTTAAATTTTTAAATCATATTTATAGTTTTATAATACCTTAAAATGATACTATAATTTACTTATTTTTATTTAAAAATTTTTTAAATTTAAAATTTTAACTAAGATTCTCTTCACATTTAAAAAAAAATACTACAAATATTGGATTCTATACTCAAAATTTGTTTATTATCATAAAGACATATTAAAAAAAATGTTATGAATAATTTATTTTATAATAAAAAATTGCTTATTATCACTATACACAAATTTAAACCATAAATGATATTTTTGATATAAAAAAAAATTATCTTCAACTTTTTTTAATATTTTTTTATTTTTAATTTTTAAAGAGAATTATCAAATATATTTTCACATTTTCTATTTTTTAAAATTTTATTTATTTATATTTGATAGAAAAAAATTAAGACAAAAAATATAGTAGAGAAATGATATTAAGACAAAAAAAATACGAAAGTTAATATCGTTCGTTTAAAAATTAACGAATGGATGAAATCAAAATAAAAATTAAACGTGAAAAAATAAATTTATAATGAAAAAAACAAATAAAAATGTGAATAAAAAAATGATATGGTATAACAATTCATGAGTGGGCATTAGTTGGCCGAAGGAGAAGGCACCATCACCCCAAAAGAACAAATAAAAATGCCTTCTTTATGGCCTACACGAAATAATATATTCAGTTTGTTTTTTCTTTTTTAAAGAAGGGTATTCATCATTGGACTGTGCATCCACGCGCCTGCACAATGAAAATATTCAGTTTTTTTGGCGGCATCACTTCATTTCCACCAGTTCTTTTCCAGAATCTCTTTACTCTTTGTTAGTTATTCTCTCAACTCTCAAACGCTCTGGAACTGCTCTCTCTCTCTCCCTCTCCCTCTTCTCGTTTTGAAAGGAAAAGAAAAAAACCTAACCCTAGCTAGGGAAGGGAAGAGACCCTGGTCCTGACTTGTTGCATTCGTAACTCTCTCTGCATTGCACAGAAATAGAAATAGAGATAGAATGGGAGGTTGTGCCAAGGATATTGAGATTAATTATCTGGATCACCGATTTTCGAAGAAGGTTCGCGATAACGTTCATGGCAACATTTATTTGGATCCGGTATAATAATAATTATATATCTCTCCTTCTCTTCTCTTCTCTTCTCGGAATTCGCTTACTTCGACTTTCTTAGACTGATTGATTGATTGTTCAATTCAATTTCGATTTCTTTTCGTGACTGAATAGCGCTAATTCTCTTTTACAAACGGTTATTTGTTCGTTTTAGTCCTTTTTAGAGATTTATTAGAATTAGAATTCGGAGTATTGATGTTTATTTGTTTCTGTGACTTGAATTTTATTTCGTTATTTATTTCAGCTCTTTTTGAAGTTTGTTGATACTGAGCAGTTCCAGAGGCAAGTACAATTCTCATTTATTTACTTATGTCAAAATATAATTAGATTGTATGGAATCGAAATTTCATCTGACTCGCAAATTTTACTACATGTTTGCATGCAGACTTCGCGATCTAAAGCAACTTGGTGAGTGTTTTATTTATATTTCCTTGTGCATACTTGACCTGATTTTATAAGTATATATTTTCTTGTGAATCTGATGATTGTATATTCTTACACGCCGGTAAAACTTAAGCCTATATATGAAAATTTTCTCATGTAATTAGTTCTTCCTTTAGTTTTTGATTAAATTATTACTGAATTTAAAGACCTCATTATGTTATAATTTTGAAGGAAAAAAAGAAAAAGAAAACAGAAGAAGTAGCTGCCTGCCTGCAATGTAGCTTTTAAGTTTCATGCTGATATCTTAGTTGGAATTGGACCATCATGGTGTATTTATCTAAGGAATACTAGTTTGAGTGGGCATATATAGTCTTCAATGATGTTAAAGTCAATTTATCGAGAAAAAAGAAGAAAAGTTAATGTTAGAATTCGTTCGAAACAATTCAAACTTCATACCTGAGTGAAGAACACGGAGTAACTGAACTGTCTGCTTTGGGTCACTATCTTTTCGTAATGGAATGTTTACTGTTTTTAACTCTCTGATTTCCATAACGGTCAAATGTGATGTCAGATTCCATAGTTGAAACAAATTGACTGATCAAGTACGCCATTGGAAGAATTAGTCACAGAACTCGATCTAGTAAGCTATAACTTGTTCACCAGCAAGAGTGTTGCAACAAAGCCATTTCTGTGTTCTGTATCGAAACAACCATCTTCTAATTCCATTTCTGAGAGAGTTCATTCTTTTTATTGAACCAAATTTTACTTTTATGCAGGTCTAACGTACATGGTTTACCCAGGAGCTGTACATTCTCGGTTTGAGCACTCTCTTGGTGTATTTTCGCTGGCTGGTGAAGCAGTTCACAGAATCAAAGCTCAGCAAGTAAGAATGTGTCAGTCTGATCATCATTCTTCATCACGATCTCCAATAATTGGTATTTTTCCTTCATACACATTGCATCTTTGTAGGGATCGGAACTCGATATTGATAACTTGGATATTCAGACAGTGAAACTTGCTGGTAATGAACTGTGCATTCACTAAAATGGCTTTACTTATGGTCATTTTTGGGTGCATTCACTCTCTTCCTGATTTGTTTCTTTATAGGACTACTGCATGATGTTGGCCATGGGCCGTTCAGCCACACGTTTGAGCGCGAGTTTCTCCATCGGACTTCTAATGGTTTGAAATGGTAATTCTAACAACCTTTTTGGGTTTCCCACAGAAATTAGGACAATTCTTCACTTCTTTGACCTTTCCTTTTGCATAGATAAAGTCATTCCATTAAAATGTGACTAGAAGGATGCTAGAATAACAAATTCCAGATGCTGATTATAATCATGATTTCCTTTCTGTGCTTAAATTTTTAAAATTGCTTGTTTTCATGGAGATGAAATTGATATCTTGTTGATACCATATCAGAACTTATTTGTACAATTGATCATAGATGCAGATTGTTGATGTATTCATTGACAAATATTACAATGTTACAGCCATTGATCTTTTTTAACTGTCAAGTGTTGTTGTTTTCTAACTCTTCGCATACCTATTCTGGACTTCTGGTTGTGAATGCCAAGAAGAATGTATTGCAAAAGATTAGCCCTGTTATTCCAGAGGCTAAGAACATGGCTGGTTTCAGCATTGCTATGATTCCATTCATTTTTTCGTGTAGGAATGATGTTGCTAGTGTTTCTTTTTTTCCTTTCTTCCTATATGTTTTACTAACACAACACAACCCAATTAAATTATCAGATGTTGGTTTCAGAACATGCATTTTTCTACCAATTGAAGAGTTTCAGTTTTCACAGTGAAATCAAGTTTCATTTAAGGTTATGGGTAGATAATTTGCCATTGTTCTGCCAATTAGGTACATTTGCAATACATTCATTTGATTCTTCCCTAACATTACAAGTTAAATTGATGAGAACAATATTTTTGTTTTTTTGTGATAAATTTATCAAAAATGGTGTACTTTTCCTATAGTGATTATTGGCTATTGCTTCAAATGAGAGTATTTTATCCACTATTTGAGTTATTTTTTCAAATATTTTCCAGGTGCCACGAGGACATGTCTGTGAGAATGATAGACCACATTGTCGATATCCATAACATTGATATTGATCCCGAATGCCTCAAGAAAGCAAAGGTTATATCTTTTCAGATTTACTTTTCCTTTTTTCTGCTGTATTTTCGTTTTCATTTTGTGGTACAAGTTTTCCATTGAATACATGATTGTGTCAAGTGTTTAATCTCACCATCAACAGCATCTCTAGATTCTAGTTTCACAGATGCATTTTTTATCTACTTGAAGAAAAACAGATGCATGTACACTAATTTAACAGAAAATTTGATAATGTGGATCCGTCACATATCTATGCCCTCTTTTACAGGATATGGTCATTGCAAGCACAGAACATGTTTATCATAAAGTAAGCCATCTGACAGTCAAGACTTCCATTTGACATACTATCTGGGGTTAGCACCCTCATTTCATTTCCTTATCTATCTAATTTTATCATTGCTTAATTTTCTAAGTTCTCTTAAATGTAGGGTGAGGATAAAAAGGGTTTCCTGTATGACATTGTTGCAAATGGTCGGAATGGCATAGATGTTGACAAGTTAGTTGATCTCTCTCTTTATGTCTCTTTATGAGTCTCCAATTTCTTTCTTTGGGCTTACTTTCAGTGCATATGGTTTTGAAAATAAAACATTATCTGCTAGGTTTGATTACATTGTGCGTGACTCCCGGGCTTGCGGACTGGGATGCAATTTTCAGATTGAACGGTATGCATGCTTATATTTTTAGAACGCATAAGCAAACAAGTGAGTAGCCTTCTTTTCAAGTCAACTCACATGACATTTCCATCCGCGCGTTGGCCTGTCCTTGGTTGGTTAGTTATTATATTTGTATACTGCATCATACTAATTTATATTTGTATAAGCATGCATTCATATCTTTGTGGGTGTTAGCTTTGTGTTATACACAAATGCATTTATGATGCTATTCTTTACTCAATAAGTATTCTTCTTAGCCTACAGGTTAATGGACAGCATGCGAGTTATGGGTGATGAGATATGTTATCGTGACAAGGATTGTTAGTATATGTTGAATTTCTGTTTCCAGTTTTGCTGTTAGGCATTGTATTCTTTAATTAATTCTTGATATTTTTGTCAGATCTTACAATCTACAAGTTGTTTTCCTCTCGTGCTGATCTGCATCGAACAGTCTATACACATGCAAAAGTAAAGGTGCCAATATACTTGGAATTCTTTGCAGGAAACAAATGTTTGTTTGTTGAATTTTTATCCAAACAGGGAAATGCAATGTATTCACATTTTCCTTTTTCAGGCAATAGAATTGATGGTTGTTGATTCCTTGATAAAAGCAGACGGTTACCTTAAAATTTCATCCAAAATTCAAGACCCAGCTGAATTTTGGAAGGTTTGTGGGGTTCAAACATAAATTAAGCTTGCCGTTGATGGCTTGATTTGTGTTGATGGGACTAATGCTATCCTTCTAAATTGTGCAGATAGATGACTCAATTGTGAAAACCATCGAAATTTCTCATGATCAGGACCTGAAGGAATCTAGAGATTTAATCTTGCGCATTAGGAGAAGAGATCTATACCAGGTATCCCAAGTCATTATCAGGACAGAGAGGCTTTATAGCCTTAATTTAAGTGTTTAGGAGCATACCTATTGTTTTTTTCAGTTTTCTTTTGATTCAAAGGAAACATATATACCTGTTTGTATTACACATCATGGCAATTCGTTATATTTTGTAGTTCTGCAATGAGTTTGCTGTTCCAAAGGACAAGCTAGAGCACTTCAAAGATATCACTCCACAGGATATTGTTTGTTCCCAGGTCCAAAATAGATACTGCAAAAATAATATATGTTCTATGTTAGTCTTTTCTTCCATAGAAAATTAGAAAAATTTATCTGAAAGAGTGACTTTTTAATCAGGGAAATGGTGATGCTACACTAAAAGAAGAAGATGTTACTGTCTGCAATGTGAAAATTGATTTGACTCATGGAAGAAATAACCCTCTTGAAAGGTAAGCATGAAAAAGAGACGAATTATGATTATGATGGAGGAATTTGTTCTTTGATGGGTTGGCTTCTGCAACTTTAAATTTGACTTTGGTCTTTTCTTCATGCATGTGTTTCGACTTCCAGAATCAAATTTTTCCAGGTATCAAGTTCACTTCCAATGTGCTTATTTTCAAGTATTTTTCCTAGGAATTTTTTTTCCTTACAAGACTAAAGATGAGCATGAATCGCAAGATTATTCATGGTCTGCATTGTTTATGTGTAGCACAGGACAGTGGAACTCTTATACATTTGTTTGCATTTTTTTTTCTTACATTCTTTTGTTACCATAAATTAGAGGCTTGGAGCTAATCAAGGATTCATGTTCCAAAATCGTTTGATATTGCTTGTTGTAATATCTTTGTTTACTCTAACCATGTTATGTTAGAATAGAAATACAGAAGGCTGGCAAAAAAACTTGTCGATAATATGGAATTTGGCTATTTTTTCACCCTAATCTAAATCTGTTATGTAAGAGATCATTGGTTCAAATACTTATTTAACCTTAAGGTTGGCGTTCCCTTCTGAAACCATGGCTCAGGGTATCTGACTGTTTTATGTTACTGTTTCTTAAAAGAAGACGTGCATTAATTCTGTATTTAAGATTTTTTAACAGCTTTCCCTGTTATTAGGACTTTGAGAGCAATGAGAATTTCTTGATATCTGATGATCACGTCAGTCATTTGCTGCCTGCTTTTTGCGAAGATAGGATTGTGAGGGTGTATGCTAAGAAACCAGAGCTGGTTTGTAACAAACTCAATAATGTTTTTAAGTCTGTTGGTTTAATTTGAATTTGCTTTCTTTTGATAAATCAATGTATGGACATAATCATACAGGTGAAAGCTGTTTCTGAGGCATTTGAAAATTTTCAGCTAAAGACATACGGAATGAAAGCACAGGTACATGCAACTCCTGATAGGAAGAGGAATCGCCAGAGGTTAGAAGAGTTGCACTGAGAAGAATCGCCGAAAGCTGTTGTGGTTGCTGCTATTGAGTCCCAGTGCTTTTATATTTGGAACCCGTACATACTTTCTTCAAATGGAAAAAGAAAACTAGCTTGCACACACATGATAGGAGAATTTCATTAGCAAGTGTATGAATTCACATATCTTGCCTCATTTTGATAACTCAGCACAATATGTGAATATTATCTCTTATACTCCTTAACTTGTAGGTGGATGATGAATTTCCACTAATGAAATTTGTTTGTACGTTTCAAAAATTTGGAATGGGTTTTTCTTGTCTATTTTTTAACATTTATTTTACTTTTCCTATCATCACTACCTTCACCGCCACTATCACTAATACAACCATTAGTGGTAGTGATAATTTTTTTTTCAAAAAAAAGCTATTATTATTATTATTATTATTCTGCCACAATTCTTTTTCAACCATCATCATTATTTTTATTATATATTATTATTATTATTATTATTATTTTGTCACCTCTTTTTTCATTGTCATAATTATTTTATTGTATCATCACCACCACTCTTCTACTACTACTACTTATGGTGGTGATATCAATTTGAAAAATATATTATTGTTATTACTATAATACCATTACTATTACTATAACTTTATCCTCGTCCCTTTTCTATTTTTACTTTATCACAATCATTATCGTTACTACTACAGATCACTTTTATCGTTTTTATTATAATCATAGTTGATGAAATTATATTTGTAGTAATTATTCTTATTCGTCTTAAAAATAAAATATTAAAAAATTTAAATTTTATTCTAATTTTTTACTATTATTCTAAATATAGTATAAAAATAAAAATTTTATTCTGATTTTTGCATTTTTATTTCGAATCTTTCATTCCTAATAACCAAAACACCTTAATTTCTACAAAAATGAATTATTGAAAAGAATAAGATGTATTTAGATATTTTCCTTCAACTTCGAAAAAAAAATTGTATTACTTTTTTAACTTATGAAATTTTCAAATTTAGACCATATGTAGGAACTGATTGCATCACCACCACCTCCATCTTTACTACCACAACCACCACCATTGGCAATATACTAAACAATTCCCAAAAAAAAAAATATATATTATTATTATTATTATATCATCATCCTCCTCAACCATAATCATTGCTTTTATTACATCACCACCACTATCATTGCCACTACAATTAATGGCAATGATAAAAAAAAAAATGATTATTATTATTATTTTACCACTGCTAGTTTAACACCACCACCATCACTTGTTTTTCATTATCACTTGCTACAGTAATAGTATCAATTTTTTTAAAATATATTATTATTAGTTCTATCATTTTTGTCTCTTGTAATCCGCCTACTCTACCACCATAATTATCACAATAATCTCTATCATTTTGTATTTCATCATAGTTGATGAAATTAATATTTTTAATCATTATTCTTATTTATTTTTTAAAAAAAAGATATTAAAAAAATTTAAATTTTATTTTAATTTATTATTATTATTTTAAATACAGTATGAAAATTTCATCCTAATTCATATATTCTCATTTCACACCTTTTACTCTTGATAACCAAACAAAATCTCAATTTATATAAAAATAAATTATTAAAAAGAATAAGTCATGTATTTAGATATTTTCCTTCAACTAAAAAAAATTGTATTCTTTATTTAATTTCTGAAATTTTTAAATTTAGACGATTTATGTAGGAACTGATTGCATCTCATATATACAGATGAGTTTGAATCAATATAAATCAACGGGAGAACAAGCAGCATTCGTTGATAGAAGACCAAAAATTGCTGGTTAGTATCAATCTTTTTTTATTCTGTTAGAAACAATCACCAAAGCTTTATTCGAACTTTATTCAAAAAAAAACCTCGACGAGAACAGAAAACAAATAGGCAGCACTTAGACCATATAAATCTAAATACAAAATCTAGATTTAGATAAAATAAAGACAAGATAATTTAAAATTATAGAAAAGAAAAAGAAAAAAGGCTGCCATCAGTGAGAATCACCGGCAACATCTAGACGGCATTGCTAGGTTAATTGATAACCTGTAGCTAGCTAGGTAACTTGCAGATGATAAAAAGTAAAACTTGATGAGATGCAGGATATTTGAGCAGATTCTATTTTAGAAGAGTAGAAAGACGTATCATGCTATTAATCCACAGTAGATTTGGTTTTAGTGAAAATTCTCCAGTTCTTTGGATGATAGCCTTGGGAACTGTCCTTGTCAAATTGTGGCTGTAATTTTATTGATTGGTCTCTGAAATTGAACGTCACTCCATGAAATGACATGACATGAATTTTCTTTTCTCATTCGACGGCCACAAAATTCAGCTGCAGGTTGCTCGGAAGAAAACTTTGGGTTCGCTTTTTTTGTTTTGAATTTGTGGCTTGGAAGTTCTGGAAGTCCTATTGACTGATGAACATGTTTCCCTTCCTAAGCATAGATTAGTGTTCCATATAGTTATAGATAGATCGCAGTTTGGTTGGGATGCCTACGCAGGCATTAGCGAAGATAACCATGCATGCGTCTATCTAGCCCGGCCTAGTGATACTAAATATATATCATCACGAGCTGTCTGTGATGCAGTTATCATCACTGTAGCTAGAGAAATGGATAACCTATGCGTAGGTCTCGCAAAACACTCCCAGAAGCAAATTTCAGAGCTGTATGCATCCCATTATCACAACAAATACAATACTGAGATCATGGACCTTGAAAATATATAGACTTGAGATCCTGAAATCGAATCTCTTTTATCATTTTAACCAAATCTGTCTATTTTTAAAGTCACCAACTAAAAGAAAAGTGCCCTACAGCCATATGTGAAGATTTTGGAGCCATTTGTTCAGGGGTCCCGGCATAACCTGCCATTTTGTTAAAGCTTAGCTACTCAAGAATCAGTAAATTCTAGTATTTGATTATTGTCAATAAGTATGCCCTTTGATTTTACATCCCTGTGCACGAGTTCGAGTACGAAATTAAAAATAAATCATCAAATCCCCAGCAGGCTGGGGGCACCAAAAAACACAAAATCAGGAAAGCTGTAGAGATTACAAAAGATTTTTCTTTCCTGTGTTGCACTGAAAAAAGAACCATGGTCACCTTTTACACGGCTCACTAACTCTGCCTGAGTTGTGGAGTATATGTTCCTTGCGTCGGGATACAGAGGGATAAATCCTGGCAGATACAGCCAGTCTTCCCTAGCAGATTGGTCAAACCCTGCTGGTTGGTCTTCATCATTTCCCTTCTCCATGCTCAACTCAGAATAAAGTGGTAGATTTCACGTGCACTGAAATAATAACAGGTGTTTCCATCAAGCTCAAAAGCCCACAGATTGTTGTATTCTTTTCTACTAGCATTTTTTTTTTTTTTTTTGCATCTGAGGCAGTGTATTGACATCCAGGAGAGTGTGAAACTAATTACAAGCCCAAAAGTGTAAAACAAAACAAAAGGAGTCACAAGGTAATTTCGGCGGATGCTGTATCACCATAAAAAATAAAGCTGCACTATGCTGATCCCGTTCTGTACATTTGGTGAAGTAATTAAACAGGCTTCAAAACTCGCAAGTACTGATCAGTCGTTAAAATCCAACACATGTTAGCTATGTTACTTTCTCTGAACTAAAGTACTCAGGCTATACACTTTTGCATGCACAATGCAGCATTCAAAATGCGAACCACACGTAGAGCGTCCATCCAATCTTGGAAAACTAATAGCCTCATCTGAACCCCAAATTTATAGAGGAGCCCCACCAGAAGAAGAATGGGAAAATTCTGAAATACAACCACTCTCGAATGCTTTTTGAAATTCATCCATAAGTAAACTCTTGATTTTCTTTCTTAAATCAGAGGCCTCTTCAGGTCTGAACCACTGCTTGCCAAACTGAAAAGTAACATATATTGGATTAAAACATTTGAAAGAATTAAAACTACATTGTTGAAATTATTGATTCAGGTCCGGGTTGGGAGGGAATACCATTGCCAAGTCTTTCTTTTTCAGCCTCTCAGGGGCTCCTTCAATGAAGCGCTCCATAAAAAAAAGTACAAAGGGACCACAGTCATAGTCATTTTTCTGTTGGGGCACCTGGTAGGAAATTTAGTAATCGGATGCAGTGAGGTGAAGTTTAAAGCAACTATTAAAGAAATGAGAAAAAGAAAAATTGTGCCAACTTCATTAACAAAGCTCCAAATTCACACTTTCAATTGAATTAACAAAAAGGAACACAACCACATATCTGTGAGAACATTGAGGCAAAATGCCAACAACTTTCGGGAATTAATGACCCACACCAAGCAGGTTAAAGTTCACAAATGCTTTACATTTTTTCAAGAAAAAGCATTTTATAGAAAGATTAGAATATAAAACCATAGGAGAACAGAAAAAACATAGTGTCAAACCACACTATATCAGCTAAGGATATACCACCACAAGATCTTGGAACAGAACATCAATAACAGTGCAAGAAAAAAAAATTTGTATTCTACAATATTTGTCTCAGTTGGTAATGATGTCAAAAATCCAGAAATTCCTTTCTGTCCAAATGCATGCAAACATAGCACGACATCAGAATTCATAGATTCTCACTATCCTTCCTACCTACAACCAAAAAAAAAAAAAAAACTCACAGAAAATCTCATTTCTTCCCTAAATTCCTCGGGGGTGGCTACCCAACAATCAGCCCAATAGAAAAAACCCCATTCCACACATCCCAATCAACAGAACAATGTTGAAAAAAGATAGTTACAACTTTTCATCACAGAAATAACACATTAAAAATAAAGCCAGGAAAAACCTTCCTTAGATCTCCTAATCCCAAGTTATCAGGGTCAATAAGGACTAATAGTCGAAACAAAAGCCTCAAACTTTGAAAACCACCCTAGCTTTCCAAACAAAAAGCAAGAGGGAACAAATCTACACATGATCTAGGACTGCATAAAGGTGCAAAGAAAAGATTTGCATAAAAATGAAATCTACAACCTCCAGAAACCATACTTTGCAATCAACCCTAGCAGAGAGGAAGTTTAAGGATCATAAGCAGTCAAAGATCTTGAGGTTCCCTCCTTAAGATTCAAAGAAAAAGGAAGATCCCAATTAACACTACCCCCTCCATTATGCAAAATGGGGAGGGCAGAAGGCCATACAAATGGGGAAAAGTTGAAGGAATACCCATGGTCATATTAAGGCATAAATACTGTTCAATACTTGGAGCATTTTCAATATAAACTCACCATAATGATTTTCCCCTCAATTCTACGATCTAGATGTTTCCAGATTCTATCTGGAATTGGAAAATCTGCAGGAACAACTACTTGATTCATATACTTCCATTCTTCTTTCAAATAACTGCAGCACAAAAGTAACACCATTGTTTAGGATTTCAATTTACATTCATTCTAACAAGACATTATAATAAAGCTTTAATTTATAGTTCGTTGAATTATCATAATAGTTCCCAATGCTTCTCACAAACTCAAAAGGGGCTGTTAAGTAATTCCCACTGTAATTCTGCAGCTACAGTTCAAAAGTACCTCTTTCTAAGTAACAATTATGAATAAGAATTTTAAGTTCGCAATAAAACTAGTAATCACTTTGTTCAATAAAGAAGACATTCAGAGGAATAAGGCACAAATTGTTACATTACTTCTGCAATAGGTTAATCATGAAAACAAGTCTGTATTGCATGGAAGGACTTTTTCTGTCTCACCTTTTAATGTTAGAAAATACTGTATTGCTGCAATGAAATCCCAATGAATCTAAATGAAGTATAATTGGTCCTGATTCATCTTCCTTGTCCGGGAAACATATAATCACCAAGCTCCAATGAAGACTGGGCAGATGGAAACACCATAAAAATGTCAAACAGGTGAGGATGATTTTTGCCAGATGATAGAACAAGGCAGGGAAAGATGGCATCTCTTTCAATTTGGCACTAGGCACTAACTAGTGACACAAGATAGGGACTAATTTAATAGGAATGAACAGTAATACATAAATTTTTTGGCTATTATTTCCTAATAAAAGACACTGACACATTTCTTATGAGCAAGCATGTTCACAGATATGAATGTGTACAGCACACCCTACACATTGAGATTGGCCATTATCTAATCCTGTAGCAGAGATACAGGCTTTCAATCATAAGTGCAGAAGGTTTGAGTCTGCAAAGTGGTCACTTCATACAAAAATGATCATAACCTTATTACCCTGAAAAGATCCCCCCACTCACCCAGTATGGGCGACATATGCCAGAGGGAGGGGCGTTGCTCGCTAATGACCTTAGATGTATGTATTCAGTCTCAACTACTCATTTATAAGGTGACTACTTTTGTGCCAAAATCCAATTTCTTTTCTAGTCACCACTTATCCAATTCCATTTTTTGTTGAAGCAAACCATCCCAATAGAAAGGTGGCCAGTGTTCGTCACCAGATTATTCTAATCTGTGATTTTAGAATGTTACAAATCAAGACAACAACGATAGAAATAAAAGTTCTTCCCCCCCTCTATCTCTGAACAGGCTTAATAACCAAAAAACAAATTGGGAACCCCTGTAAGTTCTAAAGCCTCTTATATCATCAAGCCCATTAAACTTGATTAAAAGAAATGTCGTCAAGAGCACCAGGTGCACTTGAGCACTAAGGGCTTGTCAAGCCTGCCTGGCACAAGACACAAAGGCAAGCAAGCCTGACCAAAGTAAGGTGCATCTTAAATATAAAACGTGCAAAAGTTGGTGCAAAAAATGATTTACAAGATATAACAGGAGTAATCATAACTCAATAATAGAACATGCTCCTATTAGGCAAAAAGTTTTAGGTCTAAATACTACATAGGCTATTTAGGTTTTTTTTTTTAAAAAAAAAAAAAAAAAAAAATAAAATCTGTCTAACAAGATGCAAAACCATAATCAGAATTCTTACTAACGTTAGTTGTCATGAAAATGTGAATTAAACAATGATCCACAACCAGTATCAAAATTATCAGGAATGCCTAGCATTAAATTTCCTAAGGATACAATTACTACCATCATACAGAGTGGATAGTGGTGCCTTTTTGTCTTCCTTGGTTCTTGTGTGTTGGTGCCTTTTTTTCATCATTGCTTTTCGTCATTCTCTTTTGTTTTTCCTTTATGGTCTTTCAAAGTCTCAACTTGGCATAAATGTCTTCCCTTTCAGCTGACTCAAGGAAATAATACTATGGCATAACAAAAAAACCAAATAAATGCATAACAGAACTATATTCTAATAGATAATAATGGAAAAGATGCTGATTGGATCTTCACCTAAGCACTCTTTTAAGCAACTCTAGACCAGGCCTAAGGCTCCTGGCTTATAGCCAAAGCCTTTAAAGTATTTTGGCCAGTGGCCTTACACCTAACACTTAAGGGGGACCTAACAACATTGATTAAAGAATTTAAAAGCCTTCGACTGGACGTTCAAGTAACTATAGTCTTGTGTGTTTAGATTAATGGATGCTGTTGAGGCACATATCTCAGGTTTGAATCCTTGTCTGGATAGTTTGAATTTACCAATGTGTGAATGAGGGGCTTCTCCACTCACCTGGAGTTATACCGGTAACAGCAAGGAAATCCTCGCATAAAAAAGTCAGTTAACTACTGACTAGACTAATTTCATTCTTATGATTAAAAAAATTAAGAGAAAAATTCTTGCAATCACAGCCTACATTTATCTTCATAAACAGCAGTATGCAATCAGAAATAAGGGAAGAGTTGGTATAATGACACCGTTCCACCAACTTCTGAACATTGATAACTTACTCATCATGTATGGGAATAAGTATGTATGCCTTCTCAAATATATTGACACCTTTCCACCACCTTCTGAACTTGACAAAAAAAGACTCTTTGTCACTCCCCTGCAAATAAAAGGGAAGATAAGTTGTGAATGAGTGTGAAGGGAGACAGTGCAGGCATAATTGTGCATTCAACAATAAAACATATGTTGAAGCAAGAACTTTAAGAAATCAACAAATATAACCAAAAGTTTGCACAAGAAAATTTTTATTTGGACAAAAAAGTGTTTTTAATCAACTCAATTCTTAAATCACCACCACTAAAACAATATTAAATTTCCAACTGTGTAACATATGTAGCTATTTAGTTTGAACTCCTGATTTTCTCAAGATAAAATCATGGGCAATATCTTACACTAATTAAAGCTCAGCTGCCTTGCTCAATATCAATCAAGTCATTTCCAAATTGCTTTCACGCAAAAATTGTAATAAAGTTTGATAGAAAAGCACTGACACTACCAATATTTTTTCCAGGTACTTCACTCTACTAGTTCAGGCGTTTGAAAGCTCCAGTATAAAAAAGCTTTCAAATGTCAGATATATAGATATATGTTCTGATGAATTAAAATATGTCAATTAAAGAAACAAGAAAGCTGACGTGTTTCCTTCTTTATTAGTTGAACACCAAGCAAGAAAGCTACCTTATATGACATAGCCTGTTCCAGCTTCTTGTAAAAGAATGTGTTAAAACAGTGATAATCACACGTAGCCTTATTTGCTGGAGATGCTTGCAGCCGTAAATATCTAAACAAAGAAAGCAGTAAATAACTAAAAGGAGAAATTTAAAAGACTGACACTTGAAATCTGCATAGAAAACCCTAGAATATCCCCAAAAGTAGGGCATTCTCATACACAACAAGATTTCAAAAAAGCATTACAGTTTCAAATTTCAAAAAGTATTAAGGAATAAATGCAAGTATTTCTACTACTTTATTAAGCAAGTAGCCAATAATATCACAAGATTTAAAAATTTTAATAATTTATTCTTCAAAAAGAACACCCTCCTTCAAAGATATTTTTCAAAAGGGAAAAAAGACAAGAGGAAAAATATCATGTATGGAATCTTTTATTATGCCGAGAAAGATGACAAACTAGGACAGCTCAGCTCATAAACTTTGTCAAATAGCCTGTGCGCAGAGTTGAAGGTCAAAATTCAGTGGTGTGCCGAGTTCACATTTTCATATTTTTCTTAAAGCCAAGCTAAAACATACTAAGTGGTTTGCAAAGGTTCAAATCAATCCCTAATGACCAGCTCCTTTCAAACTGCTCCTCTCAAAACAGCAGTAAAGTTGAAACAACTACTCTAAGAAACTAAAAGATAGGAAACAAATAGCATCCAATGATTCAATTAACAGCCCAAGATGTACAAACTATCACTCGCAAATTGTTCATGCACCCTAAATGTGCAGGTTTAGGAGAATAATAAATTGAATAAATTTCCCAAATTATCACATCAAAACTAAACTGTATGCTAGTACAATTACCTGATGTAAAAGTTCATAATAGGCGATGTCAAAAAAGCTTCAGGAGCAAGGCAGTCCATATCCTTGTAAGCAATTTCAACAGAAGTTGGATCATCCCTGCATCAAAAGATAAGCAAGAAGTCATCAGAAGATTATGGGTCGTCCCTGGTGCAAACTAATTCAAAGTAGTTAGAGTCATCGGGAATATTTTGGTGTACCTTGATGGATAGTAGATCTTAGCATCCTTCATGCTACAAGCAACAGAGAGATCAAAATTACCATTAACAACACAGTCAAAAGTTGAAACACGGGGGAAAAAGAAAAGAAAAAAAATTGGGAGTTTCAATTACTATTCAGCAAGTTCTTTTGCTTTCTCTGCTGTCTCTACAAGCTGAGGTTCATCTTCGTCTAGGACAACAACTGTCGGACCCTGTTTGAATAATGTTACCATGCATCCAATCAGTTGCTAAAGACAATTTCTTGTTGCATAACAGTGTAAACAGCAGGCTGCGATTCAGTAAGCGATACTTGGCTACATTCAGATGTAGCAGAACAAATTTCATGCACTGAAAAACTGGCCATTCATAAATTCGTGTCTCAACTCCTCATTTTCTGTTTGCCTGTATCTTTAGTTTTGTTGGATACGGTTCAAATAAATTTCCAAAGTGATTTAACACAGCTTACAAAAGATTTACTGTAGCTCCAGCTGTATTGATTAATACTAGAGTTCAGGTAAAGCTTCTTCAAAAGATAGTAGCTCCACATTCAGGTTCTCAGGCCACGTACACAATCCCAGAACCAGGTCTCACTAATCCAATCTACCATTGCAGGATCAAATCAAAGGAAATGGATGCAAGCTAGCATTTTGTGTTTTGTCAAAACCACTAATCAACTTCACTTCTAGAAATATCATCAGTAGAATTTGAAGAAATTGCAATTCACATGAGTCCATGACTTGCCACATGTTTTTTGATAAAAAAAATAAAAAGTAAAACTTAAGACTTAAGAGCACCAAGGGGGTGCAGAAAATTTTTTTTTTTTTAAGAAAAACATAGTTTACAGGAAAGAGAATATACAAATTTTATAACAGAAAAATCATCTGTAAAATATTTTAAAGCCAAAAGAGTAGCATTTTAACTAGCTATCTAAATAACAAAGAGATGCATCTTTCGTATCCCTCAAAAGGCTTCCTATCATGACCCTACAGACTAACCAAACAATAGCCAGAGAGATTAGGGGAAGAAGTTACTTTGCATGTGGGGATACTAATCAGCTGCAGTGCTAGACCAATAATTTGAGAATCTAGACAATTGATGAGGAGAAAAGTTTGAAGGCATTAATCCCAGATCATTAGACATGACACTAAAGGGGACACTTCCACTTAAAATATCATACACTATCCATTTCAATTACTAACTCCAATGATATCAAAAAGCATTTTTTTAGCAACAAAACTCTAAAACTAAAGAAAGAAAAGACATTCTAATTATCAATCCAAACAAGCTTTTTCTTATGAGCAATTTACGTGTATAATGCACACCATCAATCATTTATAAAGCTTACCTATCAAGGTGGGTATTTGAATTTTAATATTTATAGAGGTTTAACACTGTTCGCTCAAACAGCCAATGTCGAGGGAGAGAACAAAAGACATACCTTCCTACGCCTTGAACCATTTGAAGGCAGGACTAGGCAAGCATCCTTCCTACCCGAAAAAAAAAAAAAAAAAAAAAAAAAATCAAAATAGCAATTAAACAAGACCTATGATATATAACATCCATTTCTTCCATTCAACTCAACTGTTCGAAGCAATTAGGGTTCTCAAGATAAAATTTATATGCTCAGTGATTCACATGAAGCTGCTAACAGGTTGTAAATAAGCCAAAATGCTAAAATGGTATATCTGATATGATGTGGATCTTAGATTAACCCTACAAACAAACTGCATGTCCAATGTCTTCCACAAGAAAAATAAAGAACGGCGAAAAAACTAAGAGAAGACTCTCGAGAAGAGAAGATAAAATGCCAAGAAAGAAGATCACATAAACTGGTAAATAATAGTGAAATTAACCAATGTGTCACAGCAGTGGGAAGACATACAATCATTATATATATATATATATATATATATATAGAAAGAAAAATCTTTGTATGCACGCAACACTTGGATATAAATATACACACATGACACAGAAATATCGATGAACGTAAAAACGCTTACTTCTTGGAGGAATTGATGAAGAAGCGTTCTCTGTTGTGGCACGAAAGGTGAGCAGAAGAAGCCCTACCCTTTTGATCAACGTTAGCAGGATCACGTCTATCTCCATTAGTAGAGACGCTGGTAGCACATTGAAAAGGCAACCGTCTTGATGATGACTGTACGTTCTGTCTTCTCTTTTGCGATAACCCTCCATTAGTTCTCATATTTTGGCGATTACAATGACCCAAGGTCGTCAATTCTTTATCATATGCACTACCTACCCTACAATCTGTCTGTTAAATAAATAGTCAGGTAACAAAGGAACTCCTAGATACGAATGAATGACTTCAAAACATAAACTACAGCATCATACATTTTCTTCCATCTTTCTAATAAAAATAGAAGTAAACTGGGATTGTGAATTCTTGTCTTGAGATGATGCACCCTTTTGTCCAAACCCATCTGAAGCACATACAAAACACATTTTTAGATACATTAATTTCTTTCTATCTTTTCATAAACATTAAGGAGAGAAAGTTGAAGTTACCAATTCTACTTGAAGCTGTTGAGTGTTTGGGCTTGTCACATTCAGCAGCATCCTGCCCAATAAAAAAAAATTAGCAAGCAATTCAAGCATTGAATTCTTAGGAAATCAATTTTTAAGACGTGAAAAATATCAATTAAATAAATTGATGGAAACCCACTAAACTATCAAAACAAACCATTTGGGTGGGGCGGCGAAGCTTTCGTAGCTCGCGCTCTTCCTCCATGGCCTTGATAGTAATTCGAAGCTTCTCTCCTTTGTCAGGCAATGTGGGACCTATCCCCAAAAAATGAATTCTGTTTCTCTGAATTTGTTCATCCAGCTTCTTATCGGACAATGAAGCAAACCCCTCTTTTTGACTCTGCCAGGGTTGGGGTTGTGTGTTTTTCACGATCACTAACGGTGGTGGTTCGCCGTCGTCTCTGCCAATAATCACGTCCCAGGTTGAGTCCAGGTCCAGTGGTCTCTTCTTTGACTTTTCTTCTTCCATTCCATGCAATCAAGTTCTCTCTCTGTGTGGAAAGAAAATTGAGAAATTTTTTATTTAGGATTTAGGAAGGAGAAGGAGAGGGGTTTCAGGATCAGGGTCAGGGAGAAATTAAGATTATAGGCGTCGCTATACTTCTACTCACGGTCGCGTCCAGGCCCTGCTGCTGCTGCTGCTTGAATTATTGGGCTGAGTATTGGAATTTGGATACCACTGGGCTACAGTTGTAAGACCTCGTCCCGTCGGGGAGTGACTCACCCGAAATCCCGGGTTACCGATGCTGCCGATAATATATAGATTAAATTATAAATTAGTCCCACTCGTTTTCAAAAAGAATTAATTAGTTCTTCCCCTTTCAGAACTAATTATTTAATCCTTTTAACTAGTATCGAATCATGATTAATTTAATATTTTTTATTTTATAAAATGTTTTTTCTCATCATTTTTTTAATATTTTACTTATTTTTTATTCTTTTTCTACTTCTTCAATCTTTTTCTACTTCTTCAAAACAAAAAATAAATTAAATTAAAAAATAACAAAAAGGACTAGATAATTAATTTTTAAAATCACATAGACTAATTAATTCATTTCTCAAAATGAGAGGAACTAATTTATAATTACTCATAATATATAACAAATTTATTTATAATAAATATAATATAAAAATTATTATAAACAATATGGTAACAATAATAAAATTGAAAAGAAAAATAATAGATTATAGATTGACGTATATGTTAACTTAAATAAAATACAAGTTGGTACAACTAAAAAGCAAATGTCAAAGTTTATATACTCAAGTTTAAAAAAAAAAAAAAAAAAAAAAAAAAAAAAAGAAGAAGAAGAAGAAGAAGAAGAATTTGTACAAAGAAAACGAATAGTGGTACCTATATGTTGGTGCCACATGTGCGATTAACGATCATGCTAGCTAAAAATTAATAAAAACATCTGATTAGAAAAAATTACAATTTGGTAAACTTAAAAAATAAAGATTAAAAGTGACACACTCGATTAGAAAAAAATTGATAAATTGGTAAACCGAAATTGTGATTAACTTGAAAAATAATTTCACTATGAAATAAAGTGAATACAAATGATACCAATTTCAAATAATTCTTTCAATCTTTTTAAAAACAAACACATCATAAAATAATGAATAATCAAACATATTTATAGATTTTAAGATTAAGAAAATAATTGAAATGGACTATGGATAATTAAAAATATATAAATAGTTAAATCAAATGTACCATCCATTCAATTTCTATATTGATGGTAAAATGAATCATATAGATTATGAGTAATGAAGATATGAAATGAATATAGACATTTATTAATTTATAACAAAAATAAATTTATTATTGTCCAAGACAACACCAATTCCTCTAATCTAGTGTCAAAATGTCAAGAAATATCAATCATAAATCAATAATTAATGTTATAAACTATTATTGCTATATAAAAAAATTGTTATAATTAAATAATTGGAGAGAAAAATGATAAAAAAAAATTGAATTTTACTATGAAATAAAGTGAAAACAAGAGATAACAAATTTAAACAATTTTCTCGATCTCTACAAAACACTTTTACACAAGCTAATGAATAATTAAGCATAATTATAGGCTTTAAGATTAAGAAGAAAATTACAATGGACTATGAATCATTACAAAGTGTATAAATAATTAAATCAATTGTATTACCTTTTAATTTATCATATTGATTAATGAATTGAATCACATGAGTAGTGGGAATATGAAATGATCATAAACATTCATTATTTCATAACACTCCTCGTTGCATGTCCATCGTATAAGAAATATGCCTCATTAAAATCTTACTAGGAAAAACTCAGTGAAAAAACATCCTAGTGAAGAAAAAGGAGTATAATATTCCTTATCCACATAAATCTCTATTTTAGGCTTTCTTTGTTGAAAATATCATTTAAAATCATTAGGATGACATATCTCGGTCTTGCAAACAATTTTCTCAAAAGTTGTGGTAGGTAAGGCCATGGTAAATAAGTTCGTCAAATTATCACTTTGATGTATTCTCCCTTTAATTAAATTATTCAAGTAACATTATCTTCATATGATATTATTGAAACTTTTTTATCGATAGATAAATCGCATGTTTCTCGAATATGATAGGTCATTGATTTTAACCAAACACATTCTTCACTTGCATCATGAATTGGTATTTTTTTTCATGATTTGAATATGTAGTAGCTATACTTTATTTCATAAAACGTCGGGATATAGTCGTATCACCATGTGTAAATGCATAAACCATTTGTGATCAATCTTTGTATGGATAAGATAAATAACATCCATCTCGTATAATTAATTAATTATGTCTTTGATTTATTGAAGTAAAATAAACACCATATTATTTTTTTCCTCAAAGATAACATTAGAAATGTTTAATTCCATTTTAATGTCTCCATATTGGAGCAAAACTATGTCTTGTTAATAAATTTACAAAACAAGCTATATCGGGTTGAGTATTATTAGCAAGATATATCAATAGACCAATTGCACTAAGATATGATACTTCAAGACCAAATAGTTCTTTGTTATCTTCTTGAGACCGAAAAATGATCTTGCTATATATCAAGTAAACGAACTACCATTGGACTAGTCAATGGATGAGCTTTCTATAGAATCATTGTAAAACTTTTTCTATATAAATTAACTAATGAATAAAAATCTTATTCTCTAAGTACTCGAATTACATGTCGAGATAAAATTTTGTTTTTCAAGGTATTCACATCAAATTCTCTTTTTAGATAACTTATGGCACTATGAAACTCTTCGAGAGTTTTAATAATATTTAAATCATCAACATATACGAAAATTATCACAAACTCCTTTCTAAATTTCTTTATAAAAATACATGAACGAGATATGGTTATTTTTATAATCTTTTTTAATAACTATTTATCGAAGCGATTATACCATATGCACATAGGTTAGTAATAAAAAATAGATATTAAAAAATAAAAAATAAATATAAAAAGTATAACATAAATTGAATTTCTAAAAACTAAAATAATAAAATAAATACTAAAATAATCTTGATAGAGATCTTTATAATTTAATTGAGTTCATTTCTCGAGAAAATATATTACATGCTTCGGACATTTTAAGTCCTTTTAGGATTTCATATAAATATCATTTCAAGTGAACAAGTAAGTAGTGATCAAATCTATTAAATACATGCATATGAAGTTTTTCATATATTTTTTCAACTTAACAAGATAACGAAATATAATTGCATCCGTTACAAAAGAATATGTTTCCTCATGGTCAATGTCAAGTCTTTGTAAAAACTTTTATGTTACAAGTCTTCTTTTGTATCTCACAATCTCATCTTTCTTACTTGTTCTCACATAAATATCTATTTGTATTTCACTAGCTTAACATCTTCAAGTGTTTTAACTATGGATTCAAAACCTATTCATTTTGTAAGAGAATATAATTCTATCTCGGTTTACTCTTTCCATTTAAGTCAATCATCTCTATGTTGACATTATTCAATAGATTTAGGCTCAAGATCCATTTTTTTCATTTAAAATAACAATTGCAACATTATATACAAAATTTTATCAATAAATATTCTTTTTTATCCTATTTTCTCCCTATATTGATATGATATATCAAAATCTCTTAATTTTTCTCAAGCATTTGGATTTCTTCTGGAATCCTATTATCGAAAATATCTTCGATCATTTTTGTGAATATTTGCTTCTTTGATATTTTTATTTTGATTATTTTTCCTTTTCTTTCAATGATTTTTGTCTTTAGAACCGATCGGTCTTTCATGCTCTTCATGCGGCATGCTTTAGATTCATTTGCTATAACATTAATAGATTGTCCTTCTATAATATCAATTCTAATATAAGCATTCTCAATGGAGACATGTGTTTTAGTTGCTCTTTTTGGATTTGAGAATGCATCCGGTAGTTGATTTGTAAAATTTTGTAAATTAATTATCTTTTGAACTTCTAGTTCACATTATTTTATGTTAGGATCAAGATGATGTAGAGATGAAGTACTCCATGTAATCTCTTGTCTAACATTTCTAACTCGCTTATTTTACTCATTCTCTCTTTCTAATATTGGAAAAACTATTTCATCAAAATAATAATTGATAAATTGAGTTGTAAAAATATCTTTTATCCATGGTTCAAGTTATTTGATTATCAAAGAGGATTCAAATCTAACATATATTTTCAATCTCCTTTAAGAGTAAATTTTAGTTTTTTGTGGAGGAGCATTAGGGATATATACTTGAATAGCTAAAAAATTTTAGATGAAAAATATTTGATTCATGACCGAAACCAATTGAAATGGGAGAATTTTTAATAACTTGTAAGTCCGATACAAATAAGTTTTGTTACATGTAAAATTACATGTCTTCGGACATAAATAAGGAGTTTTGTTTTCATAATTAATGGTTTAGCTATCAATTAGAGTCTTTTGATAAATGATTCTATTAAACCTTTTTTAGTATGAACATGTACAACGAGTTATTCAACTTTTATTCTAATAGCTAATAAATAATCATTTAATGCTTTTAATTCTTGAGAAATAAATTCACTAGCATTATTAAGGTAAATTATTTTAATGGCATAATCTGAAAATTATGCTCGAAATTGAATTATTTGAGGTAACAACCTCGAAAATGATAGGTTTCGAGTAGATAATAAGCATAAATATAACCATCTTGTTGATGTATTTATTAAAATTATAAAATATCTAAATAATTCACATGGTAGATAATTATTCTACATATGTTAACTTGAATACATTCTAAAAATACCGAAGATTTAATCTTAATTTTACTTGGCAATGGTTTAATAATCAATTTACCTTAAAAATATACGGAACATAAAAATTTATTAAATTGAAAAATCTTCGACTCTTCAATAAATGTTTATATGAATTTTTAATAATTTTCGCATCATGAAAGACCCAAGTATAACACAACCGATCATGCCAC